GAGAGGGAGGGAGGGAGGGAGGGAGGGAAGGAAGGAAGGAAGGAAGGAAGGAAGGAAGGAAAATTCGGCACATTTAGTTCCAACGCCTCTGGCTGAGGTGAAGCTGGCTGAGAAGATGACAACTTCTGCTCTCCCCTTTTTCGCTCCTTTTAGGCATTTGGGAGCTATCCTGGTTTATACAGTCCAAAAGCTAGATTGTAGTCCTGGGTCACAAGCCAACATGGTTTGAAATAGTTTAACCCCTGCTTGGCACCCCTGCAATTAATTGCTTCCAGCAGGATTAAGTAATGCAAGTAACTGACAACTGTCAAAAGCAGGCAGTTTTTCCTTTACTGCAACTGATGCAAACACTCGACCCACTTATATCTCCTGCCATAAAAGCCACACAGATCCTTCCTCCTGTCCAGAAGATCTCCTCTTCTTCTTAATATAGTATTAGCCATGCAAAATATCCATACACTCTAACAAATTAGCCTTTAACTATTTAAAAAATGCATTTTGACCGAGTTATGGAAGGGCCCTCTGCTTTCCCCCCTCCTTCTTTCTCCCCCCCCCCCCATGTTGAAAACAAGACACATCGATCACAAGCAGAACATTTTTAGCCAGGGGGTTTTATGATACAGAAAAATAGACCCTCCTTTCGAGGGGCAAGAGAGAACGCTAGGGAACGCAAGCGCCGAGCAAAGACAGCTCAGGGTTTTTGTTAACATTATGACATTTCCCCTTCTCGCCTAGCAAGCAAATTTTTGGAAGCTTAAAGAAAATAGCCGTCCTTAAAATTTTAAATGGAAAGTTACCCGCCCTCCCTTTTCGGAAGGCACTTGGTAAACTGACTGAACGAGAAAGTGGCAGCTGGTTAAGAAGATAAAAGGGGAAACTCACTGCAGGATTGGTGAACTGCCATTTCTTACATCCCCAACTTTCACCTGGAAGAAGTTTGAAAAGTTAGCCCCCCCGCGCTTTTTTTCCAAATTGAATCGAAGGCTCTCTGGAAACAGAATTCTGCCCCAAAGTCTTCTTTACCCAAAGAAATCCCTAACGGGGCAGTTTTCTCTTGTAAATATGATCCTATTTCTTAGAGACCCCACCGCACCTTTTCTCATGTAAAAAAAGAAAGAAACAACATCGCCTCTGATGCAGAAAAAGGAAAAATTGGCCCACGATCAAGAGCGACTTGGAAAAACGCATATGCAGACCCAACCATCCACGACTATAGCCCTGCCTGCTTTCCAATGCCAAACTTGAATTTAAAAAAAAAGAAATATTAAAAAAAAAATTATGAAGTTCAGCCTTCCCTCCTTGGAGTGAGAGATTTCCTGTTTGGAAACGGTTGGAGACAAAAGCAAAAGAGAATGCAGATGTCTATTTTAAAGACCCCCGGGCCATCCCACAGCTCTTCCTCACCCATCCCTGGAGAAGGGGCGGGCGAGGGGGCCAAGGCGGGACAGCTGCAGGCTTGACACCCAGAGCCCAGGTTTCTAGTCCCTTTGAGTCAGGGAGCAACAATAAAAGACCCCAGACCTTGGGGGGGAGAGAGAAGGAAGAAGCGATGTGGCAAAGTTCAACCCTAGCACGTAGGGAGGGAAAGCCGGGGGTCCCCGGCCCAGGAGGAGGGGAGAAAGGTCGTGGGCACGGGTCACCTTTCAGCCCACCAGGATGAAACTCGCCCCACCGGGGAAGGGAGGAGGAGGAGGAGGAGGAGAAGGGACCCTCCCGGCTTTCCCTCCCTACGTGCTAGGGTTGAACTTTGCCACATCGCTTCTTCCTTCTCTCTCCCCCCCAAGGTCTGGGGTCTTTTATTGTTGCTCCCTGACTCAAAGGGAC